CTTACCCACCCAACCATATACCCACATACTCATCCACTGATCCATTCATCCACCCACTCATCTACCCATCCACTCATCCATCCATCCATCCACCCTATAAGCCTTTCATGAGTGTTTCCATGACCTGGCACCCTGCTCAGTTCTGGGGATACAGAGTTCATAGCCTAGTGGGAAAAAGAGCCATATAAACCAGAGATCATTACTTTTCCTAAACCATTACTTTTCAGTCAGTTCTACCTTTGGGGGCAACAAGTTCTACAGATCACAGATTATGGGGTTTTATTTTTTAACAGGCCTTGGTTTTTCTTAGGCCTATTTCTGTCTTTTATTTCTTTGTTTTGTTAATCCTTACTTGAGGATATTTTTTCCATTGATTTTTAGGGAGAGCGGAAGAGAGAGGGCAAGACAGAGAGAAACATAGATGTGAGAGAAACACATTGATTGGTTGCCTCCTGCCCAAGCCTTGACCAGGGCCCGGGCCAGGGAGGAGCCTACAACCAAGGTACATGCCCTTGACCGGGATTAAACCTGGAACCCTTTGGTCCGCACGCCGAAGCTCTATCCATGGAGCCAAACTGGTTAGGGCAGATTATGGGATTTTAAAGCTGAGTGATTCTAGGAATCATCTTTTCTATATCATTCATGTTACTGATGAGGAAATTGTGGTTATTATTTGTTGTGGAAAGCACTACTACTTCCTCTTATTTGCTTCTAAATAACCACTCCCAGGTTTCAACTTCAGTTCCGTTCAATTAGCCTTTATTAAGCATCTATTAGATGCCAGGCTCTCTGCAAGAACTGGAGATGCAGCGATGGAGCAGACATCATTCCCGCTCTCAAGTTGGTTATGGTCTAGGGCCCTAGACTCTAGGGAAAAAGGTCACACAGAGATACCAGCCATTCTGTTTGATAAGATAGGGATAGGGGTGAGCATCAAGTACTGAAAACACAGAAGCACCCCTAATCGGGACTTGAGGAACTTGAGGAAGGCTTCCCAGAAAGGAAACCCACGAGATATATCTTGAAGGGCAAAAAAGAAATGTGTCGGTGAAGATGCAGGGGAAGGGCGTGCCAGGCAGAGGAACAGCATGAGCAGAAGCATGGCGGTATGAGGTCGCCTGGTTTATCGGAGGAACGATAAGAAGCGGGTGTTTCTGGAGCTTAAAGAAGGAGGTGGTGAGGAATGAGTGTGGAAAGGAGGGCAGCGGCCCAGTTGGTATGGCCAAAGGCTCCCTTCGCCTTTCTGGGTCTGGTGAGCGTGCCCTGTTCACCTTCCCTGTGCTCTCTGAGCTAAGAACCTCCACCACACTCCTTCGCCGTCATCTTTATAGACGGCAGAGGCCTGATTCGTGGGAAGAGCCCATCCTTCAAGGTGTGGCTCCAATTCCACCACCTCCATGAGGCCTTCATTAACCACCCTCTGCATCCAATGGACTCTGTTGTCTATACCGCACTTCGGGAGTCTCTGGTGGGGTTCTTCGTCACCCCATGTGAGTATAGCTGTCTCTACCGTGAGCTCATAAGCTCCCGAGGGCTGGCGGTGTGAGTCACATGGCAATGTTAATAAGTACCAATAAGTCTGAATCCTATTGATCTGCATTTCAGAAAAGTGCTTGGGCCTGGGGGTCAGACAGACCTGGATTTGATTCTGGCTATGCCACTAGTTACTAGTTAGTACCTGGGGGGAAGTTTTTAATCTGTCTAATGTCTGTTTCCTCATCTATAAAATGGGTGGTGACTCCAATTCATGGGTGTTTTGAAGCCATGGTTTTAGCTCCCGGGGGCTAGGGAGAGCATCGGGGGCTTCCCAACGGTGAGGACTGGGCCTGCAGCAATAGTGGGCAGAGACGTGAGAGCAGTGGGTCTGTACAGCAGGATGGAAACCCTGACATGATCAGGCCCTGTGGTCGAGTGGCTCCCAGTTGACTTACTAACCCATTAAGCACTTTACAGTGACAAAGTACTTGGTTTGTGTTAATTTATTGGAGCCGAGGAAGTTAAAATCCCGAGAGATGAGGCAATTGGCCCAAGGTCACAGAGCAAACAAGTGGCAAAGCTTGTGCTGGTGAGAAGGGGGGAGGAGAGGAAGTGCTTGGACAGTGGCGAGAGGAGGATGGAGTGACGTTTTGTGTATGATGATATGGGATAAGAGGCAGACGTGTGTGGTAAATGTCTAACAGCCATGAAGTGTTTAACAACTGGCTCACCAGGGAAGGTCAGCCCTGCTGGGAAGTGTTTGCCAATTCCTGTGGTGTCAATACTCCCACCATCGCTGATTTTAAGCTATCATTGTGACGTCAGTGGATCTGGGACTGGGAAGAGATTGCACAGTGGGCTTGTATGAGCCAGGACCAGCCCGCTCCAGCACTCCCTGAGGCTTCAAGGTCATCATGTATGGGCCTGAGGGTGAGTCCAAGCACACTGACATGCTGCTAATCTACCCGGGCCCCTCGAGGTAGGGACCCCATCGCTCCTATTTCATAGAGTGGGAGGCGGAGGATCCTGCCTGTGGTCACACAGCTATTGCGTAGCAGAGAGGGGCTCCAGCTTGGGCAGGCTGACTCTAGAGCAGGGGTTCTCAACCTGTGGGTCGCGACCCCTTTGGCGGTCGAACGACCCTTTCATGGGGTCGCCTAGGACCATCCTGCATATCAGATATTTACATGACGATTCATAACAGTAGCAACATGACAGTTATGAAGTAGCAAGGAAAATAATTTTATGGTTGGGTCACAACATGAGGAACTGTATTTAAAGGGCCAGGAAGTTGAGAACCACGGCTCTAGAGCCCAAGTTCTAACCATGACATTGTTCTCGTCCCACTCCATCGGGGCGGCTCTGTCCAGGAGCATGCGCTGCTCCGGTGGCATTCGCTGCCAAGCTCCAGCCCATTTCCAGGCGAATCTCCAGTTGATCTCTGGCCCTGGCATAGTCTGCTCCCTCGCCCTCCATCCCCAGCTGTTTCCCCTCCCCCTCCATGGGACTTGCTCTAACCTTCCCCGTTGGGGTCAGCTGGCACAGCCATGAGACCTGGAGGCGGAGGCAGGGTATGGTGGTGGAGTGGGCACAGAAATGTCCAGGCCTGGAGTCTGTCACAGCCCAGATGCTGCCCTGGCACCCAGAACCAGTACTAACAGCACACTCTGCTATTAACCGTATAGGAACAATAATTTATGAAGAAATCATGAAGCCTTAAGTATGTGATATGGAGCATTGAAACCAAACAGTTGACTGTTTGGGAATGGAGGGAGGGAAACCAAGAAGACCGAAGGGAAGGGGAGGAAAGGCAGGGCATGCTGGAAGGTGTGTGTTGGGAGGGGGGAGTGGGGTACATGGTCATTGGAAAATACATGGGAACCCAGGCTTGTGTCTAAGCCCCAGCGCTGTGACTTGTAGTGGGAGAAGGAATGATCATATCATTGATAATAATAATAGTAATCAAGATTATTATGTGTGAGTTATTGCAGTTATTCAGGTTCCTGGGGTTGTGCTTCTGTAATATGTACTTCTCTATCATCAGGGCTGCTAGGGGGTTGAAGAGGTGAGAACTGGTATACAGAGGGTACTAGAGGCTGATCTGAGGGGAGCTCTGTCCCTTCCTGATGTGGCCATTTGCTGCTCACCATTCAGGAGAGCTGTTTTAGAAGCTCACCGAGTGTGTGCATGTCCATGTACATGGGCGAATGTATGTTTGAGGGCCAGTGTATGCACACCTATGTACATACATGTACCTGCATATCTCTCTCTCTCTCTCTCTCTCTCTCTCTCTCTGTCTGTCTGCATGGCTCTCCTACTCTTCCCCTTTCCTACCCAGGGAGCAGCTGGCCAGAGGCTTAGGGGTGATGGGGAAGCAGGACTGCTGCAGATAGAAATGGAAATGAATTCAGCTCTGGCCCCATCTCTTTCAAGCTCCCTTGCACACAGTGGGAGCTTAATAAATACTTGATGATGGCTCTGCACCTGGGAAGCCAGCAGCTGTTCCCAACGCTGACTCAGAGCCCCAAGGGGCAGATCAGTTGGGGAGTGACCATGGGGGTCTTCAGTCTTCCTGCCAGACCCTCTGGTGACGCCACGCCCAGCGGGAGCCGTGCCCACTTCACACATCCTGCCTTTCCTCTGGCCTTTTCTCTGGCTCTTTCCCACCCATCATCTGAGCAACATTTACAGAGCAGCCACTTGGTGCTGAGCGCCATCGTGGGCAGGCACCCTGGGAGATGGTAGAGGAGGTGCGGGGTCAGGCTGAGCGGGGTGCAAGCCACAGCACCCGTAAGGACAAGCTGGGGGGCCTCGGCCAGGTTACTTATCTGCGCCTGAGTGATTTCCTGTTTTGTTTTCACAGTGTGTGTCTGCAAAAGGAGGGTGGCATTTTCATAGCGCTGATGTGAGGTTAGAAATAGCAGAGGCAGGTGCGCAGCTACCGCAGGGGTTCAGGAGGCGAGCCTCTCCGCCTGGAGGCAGGAGGGCGTGGGCCCCTCTGCTCTTTGACCTCGTAGCTGTTACCCAACGTCTCTGAGCACCGGCGTGTAAAGTAGGGGAGCATCATGCTCACCTCCGAGGGCGTCTGGAGGATGTAAGTGGATAATACGCGTGAGACAACCTAAGGCAGATCCTGGCCACTAATAACGGTTTGTCTTCCCCGCTTCCTGCCCGCGAAACAGGGGGCGCAGCTTCCCCGCTCAGGAGGCTCTCTGCCCCTCCTCCCCACTGCCTGCACCGCGTCCGGGGCTCCCGTTTCTACCTGCGGGAGGAAAGGGGACAGCGGCTCCGCGCCCCGGCCGGGAGCGCAAACTACAGTTCCCAGCCGGC